GCTAAGTGGCCCAGGGTCTCCATTCGTGTTTTTAGTGTTGTTAAAATTGTGATTTTGACAAGTTTCGCTGACTTCCGGGGACTTGATTTCTGTGCAGCAGCAGTGTCTCCCTGAGGAAGCAGCACGGAATGTCACCCTTACTTGGGGTCCTTAGCAGGAGGGTGGATGCGTTTGCTAGAAGACAGCCGGGGTGGCCCAGACCCCCAGCTCATCTGGTGCCCCGACCATCTAATGTAAGAAGCACTAAAAGGAAAGTTATGTCCAGAAAAGGAGGAAAAGAGAGCAAGAAAAGGACAGTGAGCAGAGTCCCTCCCACTGCAGCTGGACAAGAATAGAGACTCTCCCAGTGCTGGTGTTCGTATCACTGAGGTTTGACTGGTTCCCTGCCTGGACCTGCCAAGAGCAGGCTGTGTTGCCCGCTGGTTCTCCACCGGATACAGGTGACAGACACAGCTGCAGGCTGCGCTTGGGGTTGCTGGGCTGCCATTTTGGAAGAAGGCGTAACTGTGCCATCAGCCACACACCTGAAGGGTGGTCTCTGATTTGGGCTCTTTACGTAGCAACTACATCCCCGGGACTCAGTGAGCCCATGTTTCCTGTGTGATCATTCATTTTATTTCACTGGACCTGTGATTGTAAAACCCAGGGCTGTCTGCAGCCAGCTAGAGGGAGTGTTCTTTGTCATTACAGGATAAACCTGAAACTCACGTCTTGCCCCTTGTGCACTGTGAAAAGCCACCCCTGTCTCACTGAGCCATTCCCTGGATACGCTGAAGTGCCAGGTCCACCATGACAGTTTTGTGGAGCCTGATTTTCTAGCTGGAGGGTCTCACGGAGCTGTGTTTCCTCAGCTACCAGATAGAACAGAGGGTTCTGGCAGCAATACTTGGGATTAATCGAGATGTTATTTATGGTTGTACTTTGAAACTTTTGAAGCACCAGACAGCTGTTACTTTATTTGGCACAGCGTGGTATGTGAGGTTGAGAGAGAAAAGGAGTGTGTCCTGCTTGCAAAGTCTGTAGTTATTACATAGGGAGGTCACACACACACACACACACACACACACACACACACAGAGGACACAGTGAAAGGTGTTTTTCTGTCATCCCTGATGACTTAAGGTAGTAAAAAGAAAGCTTGGTAGAGAGGGTAATATCTGAGCTGGGATTTGAAAGGTTGCCTGTGGAGGTATCTAGTGTGGAGGGGGAGGAACTGCAGCAGGCCTTGGAAGGAGAAGGGGCGTAAAGAAAGTCACAGGCTTGGAAATATGACGGGCCTGTTCAGGTCACGGCAGTCACTGAATTGAACTGAGGCATTGGGTTGGATTTACGCTGTGGAGAGCGGTAGGAACCTATGAGCGGGGTTGACCAAGGAAATGTCAAGATCAGCGTTAGGCAAGTCCAAGCAAGTTCGTAAACACCTCATTTGTCTACCTCCCAGTTACTGTTTTTGAAGAGTAAGTAAAATAGAGGGTGGAAAAGTACATTTGGAGACGAGACTCTGGATGGTCCCAGTCCCAGCCTTCACAGCTCCAAGGCAGCAAGGGACCTCCTGTCATGGTACCTATAAGACTGACTGTTACCAAGACAAAGGTGAAAGCCTGCATGGCCCAGAGGTGCCTGTGTCCCCACCCCACAGTCCCCCACCCCCGTATACCTTCCTGCACTGCCCTTCTCTTGACTCTGGCTTTTCCTTTTTATTTGGTTCTTACCCTTGCCTGACTTTTACTTCCTTAACTTACTACCATTCCTGGGCTAAAAATACCCAAACCTGGAGATTGATCTGTTTCTTTTCCTGAGTTGTCCTTGACTATTTCCAGGAAACTGTCTCCTACCCAGCCAGCTGGTGGAACCACTCCTTGAGAACACCCCATTCCTGTTTGGACGAGGCCCTCGTCCCAGCAAGTCTTCTAGTGTAGCCATGCCAGAGGGACTGGCTCAGAGAGGAGTGCTGAGAGACAGGTAGGGGATCGTTGGCCTGCCTGAAGCTTGGTGTCCTCCAGAGTGAAGGGAGGATCGGCTGCCTCTTCCTCTTTGGTTGTGAACTTAAAGTGATGATCGAAAGGGGTGGCTGGTTAGTGAACACAAGGTGACACATGGTCTTTTCTTCTGCCTTTCTATTCCAGATAACAATTGTAGTCTTAGGAGCTAAACCTGCTCTCAGATCTGTCTCTAGTCTCAATGATATTTTCCTTCCTCCTCCGTGTCAAAGCTTTGATAGAAAATGTTTAGCTAATTTTATTTTTGTTCTCCAAAAGGTTCTGCCTTGGGGAATGTCCCTGAGATCTCAGTATAGACTTTGAAACACTGTTTCCTACAGAAAAAATGTTTATAAATGTCGAGTACATACACTATGAGGATATTACTTAAGAGCACTCTGAGCCAGGCAGGCTTTCAGGCTTTCACTTCTGTGAGTATTTAAAGAGATGTTTTCAAGCAGGCAACTTAGCAAAAACTAGAAGGCGTCTGTGTGTAATCCGGTGGCTGCTCACCCTCGTGCACGCAGCTGTTGTACTGGTAGATGCGGGCGTAGGAAGCTGTGACTTAGTCACCTGATGCAAGAGCAGCGTGAGGTCAGCCCTGAGCATTGTGCAATTCTGGCTACTTTATTTTATAAAATGCCAGATCCGAGGGTTTGTTGTGTGTGTGTGTGTGTGTGGTGTTTGTTTGTTTGTTTGTTTGTTTTTGAGCTAGGTCTTGCTGTGTAGTGCAGGCTGGCCTTGAACTCACTGTGTACTTACTCCAGGCTGGCCTTGAATTTACAGTGGTCCTCAGCCTCAGCCTCCAAGTGCTGGGACTGTGTGTGCCACCACGCCTGGCTGGGAGCTAAAGTTTAATGGGAGAGGAGAGTCAGGAGAGGCTTGGCAGTGTTTTACGCACTCTGAACTCTCATGCACACTGTGTGTGAATGGTAGAACTGCCCCATCATAGGATGTTTTGTAATGGCTTGTGACTTTGTACTGCAAAAATACTCTCCTGTCTCCATCTCCCCTCATTGTGCTCTCCTGCCTCAGGTGCAAAAAGCGCTCTTTTTTTCCCTTTTTTAAAAAAAAAAATTTATTTTTATTTTCTGTTTGTATTTCAGGGAAGGGTCTACAGGATGTTCAGGGTCTCACTACTAGATCAGTCTCAGTGATCCACCTGTTTACAGCTTCCCAAGAGCAGGGATTACAGGCATGCACCACCACGCCCAGTCTCAATTGCAGCGCGCCCTGGGGGTGGGGTCCACACAGCAGGCCTGTGGCTCGAAACCCTGGCCCCTGTGCCTGCTTGCAGGCGCTGTAATCCGCTGAGCTCTTTGGCCAGCCCTCTTTTCCCTTTTTATGTCCCAAGGTCTAGGCATGTCCACCTTGGTGTCTTCCTCCTGCCCTGTCCCCTCTGCATGAAGTGGAAAGGGAGAATGCTTGTTAAAGCAGTGCAGGAGTCTCCTGCTACTTTACCTAGGAAAATGAGACTCTTAGTGAGCAGCTCGTCGAACCAGGCATTACATAAGTGCTGTTGCAACTAGAGCTCGTGTGTGTCTGTGTGTCTGTCCGTCGCTACAACAAATCTGCAGTGTAGGTGTTAATGTCATCCCCATCTTAGAATTCTGCAAATCCAGGTATTTAAAAGTCTAGTGACTTGCCAACTGTGAGTCGCCGAGCTAGAGCCATGCTTAAATACCCTCATGTTGGAGCCTGGCCACTGAAGACTGCCCGTACTGTGTGGGATATGACAGAGTAGACCTGCGTGGGGCCCCAGCAGCTCACACCTTGCATGGGACACCGAACCCCTATAAGCACTTGATAGGTACAGGAAGTGGGGCCAAGGATGCCGGCAGAGGCTCAGCACCAGGCCCTGGGCTGTGATAGCTGGGAAGAGACAGCTGTCTTGTGGGCCCCAGGGTCTTGTTGACCTGTAAGGGCCCTGTGAATCGGGAGCCCAGTGCCATTTCCAGCTCTCGTCCGACCCACAGAGTAGCAGCATTGCGAGGTGATGGAGGCTTCGCTCGGATGCAGAGAAAGCCAAGTGCCATGGTCCCCCGCTCTAGAAGAGGGTGGTCACCGGGGAGCCTGAGTGGGACCCAGGTTTCACGGTCCCCATCTGCCGGGAGGCTTGAGGTCTCGAGTGTTTACCCTCCAGGTGTGAGCTGCTTCAGCTGCAAGTGGGCTAAGGGCAGAGAAATGGAAAATGACTTGCCGCCCGGTGACCTGTTAAGATTTTTCAGCTTTCTCTTGCTCAGGCTCCGTATTCTTTGTTCTAAAAGACCCGATTTCCTGCTCAATTCTCCTTCTCCAATCTCCTCCTCACGACCTCCTTACCCAGACACCCCTGAGCTCTCCTTCCTTCCCTACAGACCAGGTCTGTCCTTTTTGCCTCATACATCTGGGCTCTGGTCTTTCTCTGTTCTCCTGTTCTTTTGAGGGTGATTATACTCTTCTCAGGAGGGTTTATTATTATTATTATTATTTTACCATACAAAAATGGTAAAAAAAACAAAGCAGCAGTACAAAAAAATTTCATTAAACAAAGAAATAGAATTCAACAATGGTTATTGTGTTGCATAATGTTATCTTCAAATTAGTGGTGCGGGTTACCAGATACAAACCTGCAACTTTGGTTAAAAAAAAGTTGTAAGAAATTAAAAAAGAAGAAAAAAAAATTAAAAAAGAAGAAATAGGATTAAAAATTTAAGCATTAACTGCATTTTGTAGTAGACCAGCAGAAATCGGCAGCACAGTTATCCAGGCTGTCCTGCATATATACATAGTGAATATATCTTTTTCCCTTCTTTCTTCTCCCTCAGGTGAACCAAGTCATTGTCATGACCAGTGCTGGCCACAATCTCTGTCCATACTCAGCTCTATTATAATCGTGGGTCTGCGTCTCAGTCTGTCCCCCGCGCTGTCCCTGCCTCCTGTCCTGTTGCTCCATGATTTAGACAACGTTTGAAAACCACGGTGATGGGGAAAGAGGCCCTTGTGTTTTCACTCACTTGGAACAATGTGCTTGCTTTTCAGGTACCCAAATAAGCTGCTTCTCCCCGAGTTCTTTCTCCTGGCGGCAGGCTGCCTTCGTGGATTCTTACTGCTGGGCAGCGGTGCAGCAGAAGGGCTCCCTGCAGAGCGAGTCTGGAAACCTCCCACTGTGGCTGCATAAGGTAGGGGCACTCTGCAGTCTGTCCTGTGAACTTGCAAACAGGAAGCTGTGCCCTCCACAGCCACACAGGTAGGTGTGGCCCGCCGTGGTCAGAGGTGGCAGTGGTGCTGCTTACATCATACCATGTATGGGAATGTGTACGTTACGTACATGACTGTAGCACTCTCAGTCAAAGGGAACCTCAGAGACTACTCTGGCGTCTGTGTGTAGCAAAGCTGGAAACAGGTGCTTGGGTTTTACTGTATAACGGAAGCCTGTTGTGCGTCTCCGTGGCCTTCGTGTCGTTAGCAGCCAGCAGCGTCTGGCCCGCAGTGCTTCTCAGTACGTTGGGAAGGCGTGAGCAGAGCGTGGACCCTCGCAGAGCAGAGCTCATAGCAGGGCCGAGCAGTCCAAGCCCAGCTCCTTGGCTGCTACTTTTCGTAGCACACACAGGGCCTGTTGGCCAAAGGTGCCTCCAGCCAGTGTGTTACCGCAGCGTCCAGCAGCCCACT